AGAAGATGCTTAAATTCAAAAAATCAAAATAAATACTATTTTTTAATCTGCAAAACATAACTATATCCATAATAAAATGACAGGTTAACTTTATTGGAAACTTTGATTCCAGGGATTTTGATATTAAAGATACTGACCACGAGTTTTGAATAAAGTAGCAAGTCGCTGATTCCCCCCAGATAATTGAAGTAATAATTTTGATTGATTAAAATTTACTTCACGTGATTAATATTTATTGATCCTCCATGTTTATAATAATAAACACGTCTTATTACCAATTAAATTAGGGGTGGGAAGTTTTTAATTAATTTAAAAATTGATAAGCAAATAATCACACAAGAAGTAAACAAACCAAAAAGCATGAAAAAATTAAATTGCGGGGGAAGTTTGTTTATATGAATTTTGTGTAATTCTTCTTTAAGGTTTATTTGTAGTTTCAATATTAAAACAAGATCGTATCTAGCTAAAGAAATAGACTTGAAAAACAAAAATATTTGTTTAATTTTAATTAGGGAGATTATCTTGGAAAATTAAATTTCGATGTCATATAAACATAATAAGACACTCATTTGATGGTAATAATAACAATCTATCAGCAAAGATGAAAGAATAGTAAAGATCTTCCTAATCATCTCCATATACCATCTTTCTTTCTTCCTCATACATTATTATTATAATAATTACATCAACAAAAAAGTTTTTTTTTTTTTGATAAATTCCTTATATATAGGAGCAATAATTGTATAAATAGTTATTATAGTTATTATTGTGACTCGAAGTATTATTATCAAAATAATATTTTTTGTGTTACTAACAGCTGATTACTTGAATCTATTTTTCATATTTATATAAATTAACTGTATATTGATTTATGATTATTATTGTTGAAGAAGTTTTTTTCTTTTTTTGGGTGTCAAAAATCCTTTTTCATATGCAAAATCAGTGTGAAAAGTATTTTTACACTTTTCATTTCATTTCAACACTAAAACTTATGTCGTTGATTCACATTGTTTTATTTAATATTTATTTATTATTTATATATGAGACTCCTGCAATGATGTCAAAGAATTTTAGGGGTTAATGTGTTTCAAGAAGAATATCAGAGAGCTTCACGTAATAGAATCACCACCGTCTCGCTTCCCCAGTCCAATCTTCCTAACTTCCTGTACCTCTTTAAGCTCTTTCAGTTCTTCTTCAATATGGTTATTATATTCTTGTCCGACTCTTATTTGATTGTCGAAATCAATTGTTCATGTAATTGATAAACTGGTTATTATTATTAAAGGCCCCTGCAATTTCCTTGTGGCGTCATGCTAACTTTGTCTGTAGTATGACCCATATGATAATTGAAAATTTTATTTATTATTAATTATATATTATATCATTTTTTCTTTGTCAAATTGATTTTTTTTTTTTTATATATATAAAAATTCTCCTTTGCAAAAAAAAAAAAAACCATAAAAAACACTTAATTTTAGTTTTTAGTTTTTTTTTTTTTTTTTTTTGAATTAAAATTTTTCCAAAGATGATATTGTCTGCACCACAAACACCACGTTTAAAATCAAAATTGTCCATAGATATGCCAATAAGTTATTCAGGCGTTAACACTCCTGCATTCAGTCCTTTGCCTTCGCCTACATTATCTGCTTCGTTTGCAAGTAGAACTCCAGCTGAACTTACTGCATTAGTAAAAGAAGCTTATGGTATTATAAGAGAAAAAGAAAGAGGTAATAATTGCTTGTTTTTCTTTTTAATACCTAAAAAAAATTTTAAAAAAAAATTTAATTGATTTTGTGTTTTGATAAAAAAAAAAAAAAAAAAAACAGATCTTACGTTGGCAGCAGAAATTGGTAAAAGCCTTTTAGAGAATAATATTACATTAAAATCAAAATATGAAGGATTAGTTGTACAATTACAAAGTTTACAAAGACAAAGACAAAAGGATACCATTTTTACTTTACAAGCTAATGCAACCAAAAAACCATTGGCTGTTCCGATAGCTCCTCCAAGCAGTTCACTGGATCCTTCTGGTTACGAAGATGATGATTATGATTTAAGTGACAACGAGTCAAATAGTGGTTGGAGCAGTTCTTATGATGTATCTTCACCGATATCTCCAATTAAAAGATCTCACAGTAAACGTGATCATCAACAGAATCAACAACCCAAGTTAACTTTCAAGGAACTTGAGATTATTAAAGAATTGGAGTTAAAGAATCAGGATCTTCAAACAAGACTTGATGAAGTGATAAAAGAATATAATGAAACTGATAAAATCGACAAAGCAAAAATTCGTAAATTGGAATCTGATTCACAACATTATCAAGAAGTCTATTCACAAGCAACTCTAAAAATCGAAGATCTTGAAAAAGAAACTGAACGATTGATTCAAAAACAAAAATCAGATTTTTGGCAATTAAAATATAATAAAAAATCATCAGAAAACGAACAATTTATTGAAGGTTTAGTAAACAAAGTGGCCGAATTAGAGGAACAAAATCTTCATATTGAAAGGCAAAAGGTTGATACTGAAAAAAAATTGGCTAAAATCACAAATGAGTTAGATATTTTACAAGATCAATGTAATCAATTAATTGAGGAATCTAAAGATTATGAAATGCTGCAATTACAATCTAAACAACAAACAGAACTTATCGATGAATTAGAGGAAACTTTAGAATATGAACGTTTAAAAGTTGTTAGTTTAAGATCAGGAAGTATGTATTCAAGACCGGGGTCAAGATCGGCTTCAAGATCAAATTCTTTTTCTCTAAGAAGGTTAAGTAATCCTGATGCAATGAGATCTTTATTCGGTGCTGCTCCTCAAACACCAACAACAAGTCTCACCCATCCAAGTGGAGGTGCATTAGATGGAAAAATTAAAAGAACTTTATTATCCGAATTGGAAAATGAATGGTTTCGTGAACTAACATTATTTCAACGTGATCAGAAAAGAACTGAAAACGGTAACGAGTCGCCGCTTTTTTCACCGGCATTATCAGAAAAAGATTTATCTGAATTTTTCTTACCTGGATCACGTGGCGGTGCTTTTGATGATGATGATGATGAAAGAATGTCAAAATTAGATCATTTATCAGATGATGAATTCTACTTTATAGAAGAGTTTGAACCTGACGAGATAATAAGAAGAGAATGGTTTTGGATAAGATGGGCAAGAAATGTTTATTTACTTTGTAGATTGATTTGGAGATGGGTTAAATTCATGTTTATTTTATTCGCTGCAAACATAATGGCAATATATCGTGGTCCTGATGATATTTTACCTTGATTGACATTTAACTAAATTTTTGTGTATATCAAAAATTCAAAGACTTTATATATAAAGGATATATATAATTTCCACAATAATTAAAAAAATCTTAACGCATCTTTTTTATATTTTGAAAAGAAAAAACATTTATTATAGAATTATCTATTTATTTCAATGTATTATTTATCATACTCACACACACACATTTTTTATCTTTTCAAATTTCATTATCATTTATTCTTGTCTCATAGTAAGCACACTTTTGAAAAAGAGCAATTTAAAAATATCAAAAAAAAATTTATTTGAATTATTATTATTATATTTATATAAATATAAATATATATATATATATATATATTCAATAAGAATCATTCAACAAAAATCAAACACATCATACATCCCAACAATAATAATCTCATCTTTCTCTCACTGCCTAGTTCTCATTGAACAAGTAACATTTGGCTAACCTAATAAATTATTTAGTCATACATGTTAAGTCAAGTTTAGTCAAAACAATTATTACTAAATTTAGGATTTTGACCCCTTTACGCTGCCTTATGTAATGAATTAATAATTATGTGTCGATTTATTTATTATACTATATAGTTATTAAAAAAAACAATTATCTTTTTTTTTTTTTTTTTTATAAATATTTCATTTAAAAATAAATTGTTTTTAATATATATATATATATATATATAAATCTTTGACTTGTTTTTAAATTATGTCAAAGCATTAGAACTCGTTAATAAAAGATCTATAAGTGCAAGCTCCATGGAGTTTGTGAAACTTGATTTTTTGACAAGTTATATGCTACTCTTTGTAGTGGAGTGATGTTTTTTATGAGCGTCAATTAAGAAATTTTGGAATTTCTAAGCCTGGTTCGGTATATATTTGGATCACTTAACTCGCTATGATCATTGTTTTTTCGTTTACTTGGTGTATTTACTATATAATGGTACCTAAAATAATCACGTCATGTTCTTTGTATTTATTTTTTACTCTTTCGAGGAAAGTCAAAAAAGCGATCAAAATGTTTCTAAATATTTTTGTATTAGTGTCAAAACCTGCTTCATTGAATTTCCTCTGTTAATATTTTTGCATATGTGCTTAGCTGTTGCCCAAATGCGTTCAGAATTTTTCTCACATGTTAACTGTTTGTTATATTATTAAATTGGTTAGAAGCTTTGCAACGGGAAAACTTACTCGTAATGTCTTAATGTGTTGTGCATTTTTGACATTGATTAGATGATCTCCAATATTATTATTATATGCCATTTACTAATCTTGATTATTTATTAGAGGAATAAAAATAAAGCCATTCTAATTTTATTTTTTATATGATCATTAATATTTCGATGGTCATGTTGTCATCATTAATACAATTTTTGAAATAAGCTAAAGGTTTTACGACGAGCTTATTTTTTAAGGAATTATTGAATCTGTGCTAGTTGTCATTGATAACTAAAGGTAGTAGTAGCGAAGGCAAATATCCTAACATCCTTGCGTAAAATTTATTTATATGTTGTTAATTAAAATAACTGATATTTTTTGGATAATCTAAAGTTATAAACTCATTTATCAAAAAAGAAAAAATCTTAAATGTATTTTATTTAATAAATAAAATAAATGGAATCAAAAATCTTATCATCACTTCTCAAGATTATTTTGAATCAGAAAAATACTAGGTCACCATATTCCAATTCATTTATCATCATCGTTATCATCGTCAACCCCAACTCCAAGAAGTAAGACCAAGTCCAACTTCTGCAATTGATCCAATCAATTCATAAGGTGCTTGTTTGCCAATATTTACTCCAATATTATTATTGCCAACGACAGCACTACCACCACCACTAAAATTAACATTGCTATTACGGCTGTTATTATTAGCACCAACAACACTATTAGTAACACTATTATTACGATTACCTACTATCATAACATCTGATGGTAATGATGAAGGAGCTGGTGTTGGGACCGGTTGTCCGGCTATAGATCCTGTTCTTTTGGGCGGTGGACCTTTTGATCCAGTATCAGTGAATTTTTCTTCAATAACACGAAATTTTATTGGTTGATCTTTATCCATGTACATGTATAAATATTTATCTTCTGGTGTCTTCCACATATTATCTGGTATATGACTATCCCATAGTCTCACCCAGACTTGAAAATTATAATCACTATTAATTCGTAAATTGGTTATATTTGTAATAATATATATATACGCAAAATATTTATATAAAAAATATTTAATAACTTACAATCTCCAAAAATCATCTAGATTTGTCGGAATTAATATATCATCAAAATATCCTAAGCTCACTAATTTTTTTTTTTCATCAAATTTATAATAAATATATTTGTATTTATGTATGTGATAATTATTTAATTAACAAATATCATTTTCCTTAAACCTTTTACACCTTCCGATGTATTACTTGAAACTTTTCCTTCAATTATTTCACCAATAAATGGACGAAATACAACTAATCTAAATACCACTTATATATTAATAAAATAATATTATATTAATTACTTTTTCTTTTCTCAAAAAGCTTTTTTTTAATTTTTTTTTACCTCTAGCGTAACTTGCTCCATCACCATAATGAACAATCTCTTCACTTGCATTTAATATATCAAATAAACAAATACATAATCCAACTCCTTGAACAACCTTTGATAAAATTAGCATTTCATTTACTTTTCTTAATCAATAGATTATTTTTTTTATTTACCTTGTTTGCATAAATTCTATTAATTTCATCGCCTAATGCATCAAATTTAGGTCTATGAAAATTATATGGTTGAATATGTATCGTGTCTTTTAACATTGTTAAAATGAACATTTTGGAAAATAAAAAAATTCAAACGGTGATCAACATTAATAATATATTAGTTTTTTTTATTATTATATCTATACAAATTAAAAAATAATAAAGCCTTTTTATTCTAAAAAAAAAAAACAACACAACTATAACAACATTTCTAATTTTTTTTTTAATACAAACAAGTCCAAAGATCTCTATTTGTTAATAATGCTAAATCACATAAATAATTATCTTCCCATTTTGCAAGTTTTAAACCAGCTGCTTGTTCAGCTTTAGCCTTTGGTCTCAGGACTTCTATTGCTTCAAGGTATTTCTTATCTTTATAAATTATGTATGATAACTCTAATATTTTAACATATTCGTTCATTTCAAATCCTTTAATATTAGGGAATGGCCAACCTTCTCCATCTTTCAAAGCAAAAGGTAATAGATAGTCTACTGCTCTTTGTATACTCTGACCCCTAGATCCAACATAATTCCACGCATCTACTCCATAATGGTCGGCTCTTTCTGCAAGCATGAATAAACCTTGTAAATTAAAAATTGAATAAAACCAACTTGTAGGTCTTTCAGTTTCGAAAGGTTGTACTCCAGTTGGAAGAATTCCATTTTCTATACGACTTATCAAAGCTCTTAGAACAAACTCTTTAGCTTCATCATATTTACCAAGATGATCTAATAAAAACAATGCTTGGACATCATAAAATGTTCCATGATTGTTTTTAGCTTTCGATTCTTGTCTTCCCAATCTTGATGTTATAAGCCATGTATAATATTCTGAAAGCCAAATATGTAATCCTTTATCAACATTTTTATCCCAAAGATGTGAATTTCTCAAAGGTCTCATTCCTTGTAACATCCTATAAATAAATAATGTTTATAAATTTGTATAAAATTCATATATAATATAATATACATTTATTTGGAAATTTAATCTTTACCTGAATACTTGATGAAAATCTAAAACTCCAGTCTTCCAACCTGTAGCTTGACCTTTCCTGAAACCTGCAAAATTAAGATTTGGATTCATTTTTGTTTCCTCATTTAAAAACCATTCTTTTATACGGAATATAGCTTTTTCAACATATGATTCATTTCTGGTAAAATGATAAGCAAATCCCAAATCTTGAACTTCTCTAAACATTTTTCTCAAGTAAGTATAATCTTCCACAGTGAAAAATTCAGGATTTGAGTAGCCATCTTTACGAATATATGGTAGTCCATCAGATTTTGTTGGATCCGGCCAAAAATACCTAGCCAATGACATATAATCATGAATATCTCCTGAAGGTGGTAATTGAGCCTTTAAAGTTACCGAATAAACACTATTATTTGCCACTGCAATATTGGCATTTTTTATCAATTGGTCTATAACAGCTTGATGTTGTTTAGTTAACAAATCAAGAAAAGTGACGTAACCCTTCGCATTAAGATACTCTCTTGGATTTCCATCGTTGTCAATTATTATAGAGGATCTTGTCGCATCGAGTAGAGGCCCGGGACCATTTGAATTTTTGGGTATTGTGCCGTCTGATGGACAATAAAATTTTCTTGGTTGAAAAGTTTTAGGCCAAAATAAGAAAAAACATATACTAATAACAAGTAAGAACAATAATGCTCTAGGTCGTAGAAAAGTCATAACTTGAACCAAGACAAAGAAATTATTAAAGATCTTTTTAAAAAAGCAATTATATATGTGTGTATGTATTATTCAGATGAAAAAATTTGTGTGGTATATATATATGATTAGTAGATGTAAAAAAAAATTATTTCAAATAAAGCTACAAAACTAAAAAGAAATAAATATTTTTTTTCCTAAAAGTGTACTAAATATAAGAAATGTAACAAACATTTACCTTTTTCGTTACTAGACTGTGTTATATTTTATTTGTTATATTTATTTTATCAAACCTTATTCAGGACTACTTAATATTTAAGTGGGTAAATTTTTGCCTGGTCATATGAAATTTTGGGCAAATATGAATATATTGAACAAGTTTTTTTTTGTATTATCTGGGCCATTAATATAAATAATATAGATAATAAGAAAATTATTAACATTAAAATTATTCAAAATCATTAGAGCTCTCAAATACACTTTAATCCTTTTGGATTGCAATTTTGGTTAAAAATCTTATTATCGCTACACACATTTAAGGTAGGGAATCACGTGTCAAATTGGTTCAAAATTATTCTATATTAGATTATAAGCCCCTTTAATTCCTTGTAAAATTTCAAACAAAATAATTTAAAAAACCATACTAATACCATAGTAACCAATACTAATCCCTTAGTAAAAGGTATTATTTCCTTAGTATAAGCTATTCACTCCAAATTATTACTACTCTAAAATTACTTACTACTTGGTAAAGTTTCATTTACTTAGTAAAAACTGCCTATTTCTCAGTATTACTTGAAGTCTAAACATTATCTAATTTCTTATGTTTTATATATATGTAAAAAGGATATAGTGATGGCAAAGTTATAATGTAATAAAATTTTATTTATTCAGCATTTGAAAAATGTCAAGTAAATATTTATATAAATAATTAACAGAAAATAATATTAATTATAAATTGTTCTTTCAACAAAATCAAACTGCTTTTATTTGTGATGATTCATATCAATTGAATGCAATGGAAATACATCATACATATTATGGCTAAAACTCCTAAAGGCACAGATCCTGATTATCCAACCTTAACAAAAAGAATAAATTCATTTGATTATCTATTATATTAACATAAATTTATTGAATAATTTATCTTATTTTAATTGATTTTATTGATGATAATATATGCAAACATACATATGTATGTAATTAAAAATAAATAATCTACTTAATTTCTTACACTTATTTTTTTGATTTAGATCTAGTCTTTATGCTAGATTTAACAATACCTTCTTTCTTTTTTTAACTATTTACCATATATAAATTTTATTAATAAAATAAATAATTTGTAAAAACAAATTTCAAAAAATTTTATTACTGTGTTTTTGTTCAGCATTATTATTATTAACATTTTCTTCATCAACATCATCATTAGCAGGATGTTTTCTGTTATCTGTAATCATGACAAGATTATGGCTATTTTATTATCACCTATTGTGTAAAAAATTAGTCATATATACAATAAATAATCTTCAAAAATAAATATTTATAAAAGAATAAATATTATTTCATTTCTTACTGTTGATGATATGGAATTTCAGCATTATTTTTCATAGGGTAGTAGAAGAAAGTGGTATCTATGCTCCCTAATGGATTACCTTTTATCACTTAAAAGTTCTCAAGCTCTTTTATATTAAACAAAATCAGAATGTAAAAAAAAATAAAAAAGAATCTAGAAACACATATTGTGAATAAGTTAGAATACATCATCAAATAATCTGGAAAATTGGAAATGCTGTTAATAAATCATTCAAGACAATAATTTAAGTTCAACAATATTTATATTCACAGAACATTAATTGAAATTAATACTAACATTCACTTGCAAGCATTGTGGAAATTTGGATATAAATTCAAAAGAATGGAAGTTAAAGCCTGAGACCTTTATTTAAGGGTAGAGTGTAGTGCAAGTGTGCAATTTCAAATACAGCTTGTGACATGTCCAATAAATATATATGGGGCATGCTGCAACAAAACCAGACAAAGTGAACATTTGGTATTACCAAGAATTTCAGGGATCAAAATTTAGTAATGTGATTATTATTATTAAAATCACCATTTGTTACCCTCTTAATATTAGGTGATAGAATTACCCTATATAAAAATAGTTAATATGAAATTAATTTATATCAGGTCTACTATGGAACCCAAGAATTATAGCACCATTAGAAGTATTCTGAAGAAAGAACAGGGTGAGAAAATTGCTCCTTATATTTTCAAAATAAATGATACTCAGACATTGGAAGCTTACCTAAGAAAAGATTACTTATGAAATTTATCAAGAAGAAAGAAAAATAACAAATGTTAAGAAAAGAAAGCAGAATGAAGGTGTGCTATTACCCAACAAAAGACAAAAACCTTTGGAAGAAAAATAATCTTATTATTACAATATTGATCTATTTTTTTTTACTAATTATTACTACAAAGAAAATTCTCATTTGTGCAAATGTAATTAATGAATAAAAAACCATTTTTGTTTGAACAAATTTACATTCAAGGACATGTTTTATAAATCTTTGTTTTTTCTCTCATTGACATTGAAACAAGGTAAATAATCCCACCTTGTATTGGAACATTACCAATTCACTTAGTTTTCAGGTAAATAACAAAGTATTTTCCTCCCATGCAAGTGCTCTGATGATTTTTATCTTATATTATTTATGTATTGGTTGAATTAAAATAAAAATAATTTTCTTTTGAATTCATTGTCATGTGCCTACTAATTTATCATTGGTCCAAATTTTTTTTTTAAAAATTAATTTTACAATCTTTTTTTTTCTAACAAAATGGCTACGTTTGAAAAAATCGAAGAGCAGTTAAATGACGCAAAAGTAAACCATGGAAAGGCAGAAGTGAAGTTGAAGGAATTCGAAGAAGGGGAGGAGGATGGAATGTTGTTGAAGAAGTTGAGGAGAAAGAGGAAAGAGCTTGATGAAGAGGACAAGCGGGAGATGGCTAGATTGGAGAAAGAAGAAGAGAGGTTGAAGAAAAACGTAGACGATTGTGGAGAGGTTGCAAAATAAATTAGCTGACTTTGGCAAAGGGGAAGGTAATGAATAGAGATGGGCAGATCAGTACTATACGTATAGTGCGTATAGTTCTAGAAAAATATAGTAGTAAATGTAAATCAATT